ATGGATGGTGCCATAGGGTGAGATGTAGAAGAAAAATAGTTTAGATGATCACAGCTATGCAGATGACACTGGCTGAATATTGTCCTATCTCCAGACACAAAACCAAATACAGCAGATAGTGTCTGATAGTGTTTCTGAACTTTCTGGTAAGAAGGCTCTGGATACAATTCTTTCAAAGTGAAAATACACCAACCAACTGGACTCAAAAATATAAAGCAAGAGCATTTGCATCCCCTTTGTTGTGGCAGGAAGAGTATTTCAGAGGGTCACTCTGATATGTTTTCTTGGCATACTCTTTTCTTCAAGGCCTTATTCTCCCTTCAAGGCTTTGCATTCTTGATAATAATTCATATGTGTGTAAATCAGCTATAAAGTGTCTTCATACTGAAATGCAGTGAAAAATTTGCATAAAAAATTCTTCAGCATAGGAGGAGTTTTTCTCTTTTTAATCCATTTCATGTTGTTACCAAATACTTGCAGTTTGGTAAAGAAAATAACTGCATCTGTTTTACTTGTACCTTGATTTACTTGTACCTCAGTGCTTTGAAGCACTGAGACTGAATTCCTGCAATGCAGCATATGCTTAGCTGCCCAGGAACTTCTTGTGGCCAGTGTTGAATGCCATGATTTATTATCATGGAAAGTAGTGCAGCTGTAAGCAACAGCTTAATATGAAGCATAGAGTAGGTCCCAAATCCAGCACGATTAACCTCAAGAGGTCTCCTGAGGGGTACTGAAACAGTCTAATTTGGGCATCTTTCTCCACTGACAGCACAGCAAATGCCTTCACCTTCCTGCACAAGTTTTTAAACCACCTTGGTGCTGTTCAAAGGCTGGTCATGGCCATGTAGTCTAGTGGAGCTGATAACTTGTCCTACCACAACTAACCTCTCAGGTTTCTCCAGGGATTGAGATGGCTCCACCTCTCAAATTGCATTACAAATACGTTTCAGTAGGGAATAAGTACTAATCTCCCCAAATCACTGTGTTTCTGAATCTGCACATCTGAAAATAAATTGAGGCTACCAGGGATCTAGCAGTTTGTCAGAGAAGGGTGACTTGTCCACTAGGCAGAGCAGGAAAATAGGCTATTGGGGATGCTTAGGTGCCCAAGTCCCATGTAGCCAGGACGATGGGAGATACCTGATCAGAAACTTCAGGCAGTGTGCTGGTTGTTAAGTAAGCTTATTACTGAACTTCTGGCAACTTTACAAGGTATTTCCTTCTCTTATGTCAGAGAGTGTACATTCTGATCAAGGGTTTTAAAGAGAAGTGGTTCTTACCCAAATTGTATTTTAATTGCTTAAAATAAAAATATCATTTATATGATGTAGTAATTAATTCTGGGGCATAAGCCAGTAGCAAAATATGCATGAATGTTATGTGCCACCAGCATTAAAATGTAAATCGGTCTTTTATTTTGACTGCATCATCTTTTTTACATACTTTGCAAAGAACATTCTAAGATGGAAGTTGCCAATTTAAAATAATTGGTGTTTTTTATAAAGATGCATGAAGAAACATGTAGCTGTTTCCACCCTGGTCACTATAATAAAGTGAGGATCCTTGTAACAATATGCTATATTTAAAAATGGGAAACGTAGAAGGGAGACAGAAGACTTCAACAGTATCGGCATAAATGGGAAAATAATTTAATGTTAAGTTTTTGTGGTATATTGGCTACCATTAGAGTAGCAGACATAGATTTCCAGATGTTTGTGAAGAGTCCAACAGTTATATTTTATATCTATGGCTGTAGTAACAATTTCTATTCAGCAGCCTAGAAAAGCATTTCATGTCACAACAGGAAAGAAATATTACTGTGGGGTTTTTTCCTCTCTCACCCCCTGTATAGCAATTCTGAATACTTCAGGCAATGCCAAACAAAAATTATGGTATAAAAATTAAAACCACAGTCACTAGGGACAGGACATAAATGTGCAGATGTTTTGTGATGTTGAAGAACTTTGCAGGCAACAGTCATAATGCTGTTGTGGAGAGGTCTGGAAATCCATCAGAGTCAGACACTGTCAAAAGCATTCCCTAAGCTACACTATCAGAAAAGGCAGTTACATTTTCATATTCCCTTAAGAAAGGAAAAAAAAAAAAAATTAAAGAAAAAAAATCAAAACCAGAAAACCTATTCCCAATGGCCTTAAATAGGTCTCACTATTTTATTAGCAAGGAATTGACTGTAGTCTGTTAATGTATGTAAGCAACTCACATCTAGAGTTTACTGAGCAACCTGTACAAGTGGAAAACTGCACTGTCCAAAGTAGTGCACAAAACATCCATTTTCCTTCTCGGGGAAGGAAAATTTTTGCAAGCTTATAAGCTCTTTCTGTTTCAGGCACCTCTGTGCCTTAATGCTGTTATACAAATGGCTGCCTGAAAATCTTGTATTTACCACACCTACCTGGCAAAACAAAGGGGCATAATGAACAACAACAAAACTAGCAGAGGGTGAGTTTTTAAAGGCACTCATTGCATTTGGTACATTCAGTGCCCGTGTATGATGACAGACCTTTTGTCCCCCAAGAGCTGGCAGGCACTTCTGTGAAGATACATGTAGCACCAGCCCATCCTGCCAGAGGATGAGCTTTTACTGCTGCCTCTCTCTGCTGCACGATGGTTACAAGAATGAAAATAAACGTCAAAAATATAAATGGATGTCAGCTCCTCCCTCTCCTGTTTATTTTACTTGCTTTAATTAGTAGGGTGAGAAACACAGGTGAGGTTTTCTGCACTTCCTGGCCCTGCTGTACCTCAAAGGGTGCAGAAGGTTCTCCCAACACCAGCACAATTCCCCAAGCAACTAGAAACTCTCTGAAGCAAGAAAGCCATGGGCAGCTGTGCTGCTTCCTAGCAAAAGGCAAGAGAGATACTGTAAATAAAGGCAGTGTGGTGGGAGTACTGGCTTGTGCAAGACAGGTGGTCCAGTGGGTAAAGGTTGGCATATGTTAGGGGAGATGGGGATCAGGCCAGGAAGCATGTGGCCATGGAGAATCGTGGAGTTGAAACAGCATCTCTGATGGCCTGGCCTCTTTTCAAAGCCCCAGAAATTGCCAGTCATGTATGACTTGTGTCAAGTGTCAGGGACCAGTTTTCCAGAATGAAATGCATCATTAGCAGATAAAGACAATTCATTAGGTGCAACATAGCAGAACTGTAATTAATTATTAGATATTATTTCTCACAAAATGCATCTCCAGTATCACATTGCATTAGCCACGATATTGGACTGATGGAGCATAAACAAGGGTAATGATAAACACCAGTGAAGGGAGTTGGGAAGAGATAGTTATTAGGGTACTGGTGTGTTTCATGTGGGGTTTATTTAACAGTCTCATTAATGATCTGGAAAAGGAAGTGAATAACCATTTAATTAAGTTTGTATTTGATACTAAATTAGAAGTTGCTGCAGACACCTCCGAGGGCAGAGAAATAAATCAAAAGGAGCTAGAAGCATGATGCAGTAAAGAAGAAAATGAGATCTTGTATGCAGAAAAAAAGCAAGCTAATCTCTCTGGAAGAAAATAATCTAAAATGTAGCTATCAGTGGAGAAATTCTGGAGAAAGCAGTCTTGAAAGAGATGTAGGAGTGTTAATGGACTATATATTCCATCACAGCTCAGGTATATGTTTACAAAAGCAACGCCTCGAGGAGCAGGAAGGTAATAGCCCTTCCCTGTAGGGCTCTAGTGAGAACCTATCTATAATGCTGCACTGTTTTGGGCATCCTGTTATCAGAGAGATATAGACAAATTGGAATGAGTTCAGAAAAGAGCCATAAAAATGATCCCATATCCCTGGAGATAATGACTTATGAAGAAAGATCAGAAGATGTAAATGTGTAAGACCTTGTCTGAAAGATGACTGAAGTAGGGCAGAAAAACAGTCTGCAAATATGTGAAAGCAAAAAGGGAGAAGGATAATTTATCATAGTAACTATTAGTAATAGGATGAAATAATAAGTAACAACAATAAATTTTAAAAGGGCAACTTCAGGTTGAATGTAGGGAGAAAATTCTGATGGTGGAATTTGGGTTAGTTTGCAGAGAAGTTTCCCAGGGGTAAAAGTAAAAGATGCATTCAAGTCATTTAAAATCAAATTGAAGAACTCACTACAAAATGCACCCTGCTATGGGGAACAATCTTCCATTGCCTGGGGAATAAGCTGGACGACTTAATAGGACATTTCACACTCAAGTCTTTATGACTGTGGTATTTTTAATATGCATGGTCAACTATTTCAGGGAAGTATACGTTTCTTCTGCTGTCAGGCCTGATAATACAAATACTTGCATGCAAACATAACTTCTAAGAAGGCAAGTATCTCTGCTGACAGCACTGCACTGCTGACATGCAAAAACACAAGCTCTTCAAGTTTTTGCAAGATCAGTGTCTTATATCTTGCAATTGTCAATATCAAGACAGTATATACAGGTAACCACATCATTTATGGGTAGGTGAGAAAGTGTGCAGAATAAAAGATGGGGGAGTCAGAAGCTCCATTGTTATTATTATCGTTATTGCTATTACTACTTATAAATGATTGGTACAGTGGAGTTCAACTCTGTTTCTTAACTGTTCACCTTTTTCATCTCCTGCTTTCACCCCTGTGCAGAGTGTGCATTAGACACCATACGACTGCTTTCTATGTGTTTTTTTAATGTTTGATATTTTTAATATATCCTAAAATGTCTACTGAATGAGAAAAGAGACAAGCTGAAGTGAAAACTTGACACTCCTTCAGATGAAGAAGAGATTGCAAAGGCTAAGGTTGTAAATGGTTATGAGGGTAACCCCTTATTTTCCCCCCAGTTATAATAATGTAATGTTGAACTGACTTCATTCCTTAGCAGCAGAGACAAACTTACAGGCCTTTGAATAAGCGTGCTCCCTAAAACACTATGTTTTTTACATGTGGGGTTTTTTTCTGTTCTTGTTTTCTTCTCTTCCCTCCCCTCTCCCCAATGGGCTGTGTGTGGGGCTGGCAGCCTGGTGGTGCCACAGTCAAACGCCCGAGCCTCAGGACTCTCCAGCAAGGGGTCGAGCAGCAGCAGCTCCAGTGAATCGGAGACAAGCTCGGAGTCTGACTCAGAGACCGAAAGCAGCTCCAGCGAGAGTGACGGCAGCAAAGCCTCACATTACTCCAGCCCAGAGGTAAGAGCTTCTGCTCTTTATCAGTTAGGGTGGCAATCTGTTATTACACCCACTCAGACCTTTTTTCCATCCAAGCCAACACAAGGAGGCTGTGGGGACATGGAAAAAAAAAAAAAAAAAAAAAAACAACAACCCTCAAACAAACAAAAAGCCCTGCAAGTGGCAGGGAATCCTGGGGAAGCTTAAAGCATTTGAAACCAACATGAAGAAAGAGGTAACCCTGTGTGATATTTTCCTCAAATTGGAGATGAGTAGAGTGCCTTGCAAGACTCACAGCTTGCTTGAAGTTTTATGCAACCCTGCCTCCATGGCAATGGCTTGCTTAGTGCCTAAGTCCTAATGTGAGCTTCCAGCACCACACGGGAACTAACTAAAGGTTTCTCTACACAAGGAAGTTATTATGACATCAGTTTGAGGGTGGATTTTTAAAGCAAAAAGTTGTTTTTCACTCATGTACTTGCCTCACCTCACTCTCCAAGTGAATTATTCTCTGCTACTGATGCCTTTGTGTGATTTATTTTAATCCACCTCCAAAATGGACTAAACTCATGGTGCAAAATATTAAGCCCAAACTTGTCATCTGGAAAGCTAGTACTGAAAATTTCCACATGTAGACAAGACCTAGCCAAATTACAATTAAGCTGCCAGTGCTATTCTACCTTCTGCTTTTACCTCACCGGAGTGGTCAACAGACACAAGGCTGCTTTCTCTGCTCTACTCTTCTACCAGGGTTAACTTTTTTACATGTTTTCCTCAATATGCACCTCTTGTATAAAGCCATGAGCTCCACAGCCACATCACACACAGTAATGTATGTAAAAATATTCAGAAATCTAGTGACAAGATTGTAAATACACATGAAATACAGTCAGTGTATTTTCCTACTCCACATAAAGCATCCAATCACCAGACTCCTCCCCCCAGAACTATGCCTCACCTATTCTCTCACCCTGAAAAATTATACAGAATAAGCAGCAAGCCTTCCCTCATCTCTTGCAGCACTCGCTGAGACATCCTTAATGTATTTTTCTCAGGTTCTGTCACTTTTGTTCCATATCTATTGCTTTTCTTCCTTTCTGTCTTTCCTTCACAGTACTTTCAGATCCATATCCAGTTAATTTTCCTCTGACGTTGTCCCTTTCCTAAAGATCTCTTCCTGGTTCTCTTTCCTTTCGTCTCTGTTCTCTTCCTTCCTGTCTCACTTCCCCTGTTGTCCTGCTGGTGCTACCCCATGTCTTATTTCCCATTCTGAGCTCTCTCATCCAACCTGTTAAGACTTTGTTCTCTCTCTGCCTACTTCTCTGCTGGAATTAGTGCAGAGATCTCATACTTGGTCTCTCCACTCCCTGCGGGATCTCAGAAGGCGGAAGAAAAGGCACAAGAGAAGGAAAGGAAACTGTTGTTGGAGTGAAGGAAATATGAGATAAACAGAGGATAGTACCCAGGAAGGGAGGAGTGTTTACCATCTGGGCAGATACCCATGCTGATTGGACCTGAGACCACCAAATCCTCAGGGAATGCAGGAATTTAATTAACTGTGGCAGGTTGTGGATTTCATAAAGTCAAGCAGGGGACTGAGAGTCACAGAAACATGGAGGAAGAGCCTCCTCTTAAGCATTTTATACATAACCTCTTGAGATCTGTGGGACTACTTTTGTACAGAGCCTGAGTTATCAGTCATCATCATCACGAAACAGCTGCACTGCTCTAACAGATTGCTTGTCTCTTTGCATTATATTTGTGTGGTTTGCCTTCTAGGACATGAAACATGCTTATATGAAAATGCAAATGACTCAAAAAATGTGATGGCTGCAGTGGTTTTCATAGGTCATCCCTTGATGGGACATGGGAGAGGCTCCACCTGACTAGGATCGGGGTGTCCCAGGGAAGTAGGATATCTGTGCTTTCCCTAGGGGCCACTGCTTTCCAAGGCCCATCATATGACTGATGGCACCAGTTCAAAACAGGTGTATGTGATGTCTCTGACTGAAAGTCCTGTTTGCCTTGCATTAATCCTTTAACTTACATGCATGCACTCAGTGAAGCCACCTTTCTAAAGTATATGCCATGTTCTTACCTGGTAAATGGAGGCAGATCTTTGGAAGCTTTTTAAGGGAGGATCTGAACACCTAAATTTAAGAGTGAACTCAATTCCAGTCCTAGTTTTCAATTTAATTTAATCTATTGGATACAACAGAAAAAGCAAATATGTCTTTGCTTTTGCTTTAGTGTAAACTGATGAATTCAGGCACAATGAACTTGAGTACACTAGCACAATGCTGGGCAGAATATCCATATTTCTAGATTGGGAGGAACTTAATGTGGAAATCTGCAGACCATTATGAGGCCTTCATTCTCCTTTATTTTTCCATAATCTAAAACATTATATGCATATACGCAAAAAGTTTTATTTCTAGGACAGTGTGTGTTCTGCACTTGAGGTTATACAGGAACTCAATTGCTGTTTAATTGCTTCTGTATTATTTTTCTCATCTCATTTTGAGATCTTTGAGCTGTTCTCAGATGTCTAAATGCAGTTGCCTAGAGAGTAAAAGCAGCTCATTGCAAAGCATACATATAAAATAGATTAGATGAATTGCACCCTAAAAGTGTCTGTTTCTTTCCATTGACTATTTAGAGCCTGTAGTGACTAGCTCAGCTGTCTACACTTTATGTCTGCAGTAAACTAAGAATAATGGCTGAGGTAGAACAGGAGACAACATTCAGACTAGTTTCAGTGAGGTGGACAAATTAAGGTGCCTCAGACATTAAAGTGAGTAGTTACAGTTCTGTGGTCTGCCAAACCTGAAATTATGAACAAGGGACTGAGGCTTCTATCTCCTGCTTTTTTTTTTTTTTTTTGCTGAAGTCATGAATTCTTTGTATGACCTTAATTAATATCATAAATGAGGACTCTGGAAAACAATGACAGCTTGTCCTTGCAATTATTTCAGATGGTAGAAAAAAAACCTTGGGTATCAAGTCTGTAGAAGAGCTACGTTTCAAAAGCTAAGAATTTGATTTGTTGATTCTTTGTTCTATGGAATTATCCTGCAGAGCTTTAATGAAGCTGAACCTGGTTAGACAGCTGGAAATTTCCTACATGGAGGGAGGACTAGAGGGAGGAATGGGTAGGAAGGAAGTGGAAAAGCCATTGCATGAAACAAAGCATCATTGGGTAGTCAACAGTCACCCAGACAGAAGAGAGAGGTGTCCTGTTCTGGGCCCCAACAACCTGATGCACCAGAAGCAATGTCCTTTGTACCCTCTGCTGTTGTGACTAGTTTACAACCATTAAAGTTTTTTCCTCTTTTTCAAGAATTCACATATTCTTTTTTCCTTGCTTATTCCATCGTCATGGGATGTACTCTTTCATCTCAAGTCCCCATGTTGTGACTGACCAGATCAAAACTGAAGTGATTTGTAGGGTTATGCTCTTTCCCACCCTCCTCTCTCATCAGCAGAAAGCCACCTTCCGGTCACTGTGCATCAAGTCCTTCAAGTGCCTGGACATTGGTACCAGTGGCTGAAGAACCACTGCCTGTGAATCTGTGCTCTTCCCTCAGGTGCAGTGTGGCATTGGCTCTCTTCTCTTTAGCTCAGAAAACAGGAAGAATGTGTGAATCTAACCAACTCACTAACTGGTGAGTGTTCTCCTGTCACCTCACCATCCTGTCTTAGCTGATGGATTTTATTAGGGAGACAGGGGAAGAAGAGCTGCAGTCTTAGGGCTGGGGGCATATGTTTTCTGTATCTATCTTGTCTTCAAAAACGTTTTTGCTTCCCATCTCAGGTAGAGCCATGATTCAAATTCCTGACCGGGACACTCAGAAGAAAAGGGGATTTTGCCACTAGACCAACTTTAGACACTATCTTTAGCTTTGCAAATAGTATCCATGGACTTCAGTGGTCCTGTGGACAAAGACTACAAATGAAACTCTCCCTTCCCTTGAGAGAACTCTCTGTGGCAAGAGCCATGTTTTACAGTATATGTAAACTATGCCTAATATATGGGAATCCCCAGTTCTAGTTTCATAAAGCATTAGCAATTGTGCTAATATTTACAATAAAATTGTAGTAGGAATCGTAATAATAATAATCACCTTCTTCACCATCATCATCATCATCACCTATGCCTTAAGTACAATGAAAAGGCACCACATTTGTGTGGGGATTGCCCCGGGTGAAGTTTTGATAGCAGGATAGAACAAACCAGTTTTCATATGGGTAAATTAAGTGTGTGAATTTACAACAGGCTGAGTATACTGCAGTGATGACTGATAGCCCCCACAGTGGGCTAAGTACGGGCTCTCTTAATCTCTCAATGAAAGTGGTGTCATGCTTCAAGTTTACCATAGTATTAGCTACATCTTAGATCCCTCTTTGTAATACTGAGTGTAGAGTGATCCTATTACACTTACATTGTTTAACAGCCCTTTACTCCAGAAAGTGTTTCTAGGAAAATGTTTTGCCAAAGGCTTCTTTTGGGTGCATGCCACTCATGTCTTTGGTTGCGCTTGTTGCCTTCAAGAGATATGAGATACATAGACACACTGTGTGTGAGTCATCCCACCTAAATCTGGGCATTCATACTGTAGATACATCTACATCTGCTCATCACCTCAGCCTCGCCTTTATAGTCGGTGGAGAGGAAGGGATGTTTTTAGGGCCCAGCTCATCTGGCCTACTTCAGATGTCTATTTCAAGAGGCAATTTTTCACACCCTAGGAGAGCAGTCCGCTGACTGGAGAAGGAACTCAGATATAGGTGTCTATGTTGTACAGATGAATCCACCCACAACTTTTAAGGAAGTGCATCACATCCTTCTGTTTCTTGATGAAGCCTGGCACATGTGTACATCTGTGGTCCCTGGAACTATCTTTGTCTTTTAAAGTTTTCTGGTTTGGGTTTTCATGCCAAACCCACTGCTGCACATCTGGGCACCACCAGCTTTACCCCAATTAAAAACTGCCCAGTTGTCTCCAAGGCTTTGAGGGCAGTGTATTTCCATGACACGGAAACCAAGGGACAGAGACCATTATGGCACCTGATCGCTCTGGACATATATTCATAAATATTTCCAGCCTTATGTGCTGCTGAAAATTTCCTGCTTTGAACAAACTAGTTTTTCTTCCATAGAATGACATGTGACAGGTTCAAGCAGGTGGTGTGGACTGGAGAATTAGGAATTTCTTTTTTCTCCCACAAATAACAGGAGTTAGTAATGTAAAGCTGACTGGTGAAAACTTTCAGGCAAATTTTCCCAATCCCTTTTTTTACGAGGCCTGCTCTTCTTTCTCGGCTGTCATGATTTTGTCCTCTCACAAGGTACCTTGCTTTTTAAAAGTTATTTCCAAGTGCAACACTTTTCAGTTAGAGCAATCGATTTAATAAATTACTTCCAAAAGTGAATTGGCATCACTCATGTATACCGACAATCTCACGTATTCCAAAAGTGTATCAGGGCCCAAAAACAGTGAGAAAAGTTTTTAAATTCTGATTTTTTAGATTTTACTCCTTTAATTTACCCTATGGGTTGCAGGCTTTTTCTTTTTAGCAGATGGCTAAAGGACTTTTTTAGCAGACATATCTTAAGTTTTTTTCAGCAGCTGCAAGGATTTGAATTTCTAAGTAAAACCTGGACGTACATGTAAGCCCATGATTACCTACCTCTGCTATGAAGACAGGCTGAGGGGGTTGGGACTCTTCAGCCTGCAGAAGAGAAGGCTCTGGGAGGACTTCATAGCAGCCTTCCAGTACCTGAAGGGCCTACAGGAAAGCTGGGGAGGGGCTTTTCACCAGAGAGGGCAGTGATAGGACAAGGGTAATGGTTTTAAACTGAAAGAGGGAAGATTTAGGTTAGACATCAGGAAGAAATTCTTCACCCTGAGGGTAGTAAGGTGCTGGAATGGGTTGCCTAGGGGGGTTGTGGCTGCCTCCTCCCTGGAGGTGTTTAAGGCCGGGTTGGATGAGGCTTGTGCAGCCTGGTTTAGTGGGAGGTGTCCCTGCTCATAGCAGAGAGGTTGGAACCTGCTGATCTTTAAGGTCCCTTCCAACCTTCACCATTCTAAGATTCTATGATTCTATGATTATGAGGGCTGAAGCTCTAAGTAAAAATAACAATTGTCCTGAAACTCCTGACAAAATTAGTAAAGCTGGCAGCATGGCTGATCCTTTTTATTAGACTTCACAGTTGGCTTATAGGTTGGTGGGACTGTAATTATTCAGCCTAAATTGCAGACATACCACTCCAGGAAAGTACCACATTGCCAAGTCATGACACTGTAGCAGTTAATCACTGTTTTATGCTGGTTTACCTTTGAAATCCCTACTTTGTGAAGCACTTTTTAAGAATTACAAGGTACATAAAGAGACAGAATGGGACATAACAGAAAAACTGGAAGCTTTTTTGAACTTTCAAGCTGTCCTCAATACTCTGGCTTATACTTATTGCATACTTTTTTCCCCATGTGTTTCTGATGTATGTCCTTTTCTTAAATGCACCTGAACAGTGAAAAGACTTTGATGTATAATGAACATTCTATTATATACGTCTTGTAAATTCAGTATGTGCATAATGGATTTCGCCAAACAAATCTATCTGTTTTCAGCAGCAATTAAAAAACAAAAACAACAAAAACAAAACAAAAAAAAAAAATTAAAAACCACAAAAAACCCAAAACAAAACAAAACAAAAAAAACGCTCAACACCTCACACCTGTTTATTGTACATAAAGTGTTCATAGTTTTAAAAATGCATCTTCATCAAAGAGAAGTTCTGCCCATATATTTTCAAGATTTACAGCTCAGGAAAGAAATTTCTTATGTAAGATATTAGGGAGTATGCCTAAGAAAATATAAACTTAAGGCAATTAGAGAGCTTGATAATGAGTAAAAGAGAAACACTTTTGAGGGAAGGAATATTTGTCTCAAATGAATTTCAATGTCTAACTTTCTTGCTTCTTTTAGGAGCCTTTGCTCCCTGTAGAGTGAATACAACCCTCAGAGGGTGATTCTGGAGGCGCCTTTGGCTATGCAGGAAACTTGTATTGCCCTCAGACACCTCCTTTAATAAGGATATAAGTAAGATACCATTCTAAGGTAGAGACCGAATATTCTCTCTCAGTCAAACTTTCTTCCAGAGCATTGATGGTTCTCATCTTAGGCTCATTACATGCTTTTTGAGTATTCATATTCAATAACCCATTGGATCAGATTTTGATTCCAGTTAAGGAAAGTAGGAGAATTTTCACATTGGCTTCCATGGGGTTAGGTTATGGCTGTCCATCTACTCCATCACTTATTTCTTTTGGGTTCTTTGGCCTTTCCTGTTAATTTTATTACATTCAAAGTACTGATTGCAAGAAGCACTAGAAAACACTTGCACATTGTTCTGAAATAACATTGTCTGAGCTGTGTTTACATTTGAAATCATAATTATCCCACTTCTTCACTCTCCAAATTATATTTTAGATGCTCTCTTTCAACTGGATTGTGTTGTGACAAGAACGAAGAGAAAAACTAACAGCCCCACAACACTCACAAAATGAGCACTTGACAATACCAAGACACCACAAATGTCTGTGGGATCTGGCAGGATTATAATGTGAATACCAGACAGATTATACAAACCACCTGGTTAACCCTCCAGCTCTCCACTTAAGGCCTCCTTTTACACTTTTAAAATACTTTTTGTATGTAATGTGATGGCACAGGATGGCCTTGTTTTCCTCCTTTTGTATGGCCATTGGATTTTCTTCTGTTTGGGAACTAGGGATCTTTTCCTAGTAGAGCCGGTGCTGGTAGCGCTGCACGAATCATCCTTAGCCATGACGAGTCACGGAAGCTGTCCCGCTTACCGACCTCATTAAGACACAAAAACCATCCCCACTCGCACAGCATGTCCTGCCACACGAGGCCAGGGGGTTGCTGTGGCTCAGGGGCAGCTCCTTGACAGAAGGCAACGCTCTGTAATTAACCAGCAGGGATCTGATGGTTCTGGTGTCCCTGAGGGGCCCCCGGGGTGAGGGCAGCGGGGTCTCAGCACTAAGCTCCTTGCTCTCTGCTTCCCTTTCAGCCCGAGCCACCCTCATCCAACAAGTGGCAGCTGGACAAGTGGCTCAACAAAGTCACCCCACACAAAGCGCCCATCCTGACCCACCATGACAGCCCGACGCGGGAGGCCCATCCCTGCTGCAGCC